GTTTTATACTCATTTTCTTTCGGGTCCCAACAAGAGATTTAAGGTCAGAAATGTCATTATTTTCCACAGACTATTTTAACAATAAGAATAAAAACAAAGCAACCTAAGACTGCGCACACATTTTACATAGGAAAAACCCTTTGTAATGTGTGAGCTGTACTTATGAGAAAATTTTCTGATATTTCTTTAAGACATGTGCATGTGCTACCAGGAATTCCTTCAAAGAGTCTATCGGAATATTTTCCAATAAAGCCGAGGGCACCAACAACAACTGGAATTATTGATGTCTTCACGTGCCACATTTCTGAGATTTCCACTTCAAATTCCAAATATGTTGGTAGTTTTTTTTTTGTTTTTGTTTTTGAATATATTCAAAGATACATTACAATCTACAAGAACTGGCATTTCTTCTGATTTCTGTTGTATACACATTTACTTTCGGGTCCCAACCAGAGACCTAAAGTCAGAAATGACTTCATGACATTTTCCTCTAATTATTTTCGTAAAAAATAAAACCAAGATCACACACCTTTTACATAGTTAAAGCTCTTCGTAATGTGTGAACTGTACTTGTGCGTACAATGTTTTGTATTTCTTTAAGGCATGGGCTACCAGGAATCCCTTTAATGAGTCTATTGGAACCAATTCCAATCAATCCGAGGGATCCAACTATAACTGGAATTATTAATGTCCTCATATGCCACATATTTTGTATTTCGATTTCAAGGTCCTTGTATTCTGATAGCCATTTTAAGCTCTTCAAAGATACATTACAAGCTGCAAAGACTGACATGTCAATAAACAAAACACATTCTCTACTTGTGGTCTTTGATCACGATGTCTGGGCTATTATTATTATTATTATTATTATCATCATCATTATTTCTTTTGATTTCTGTTGTATACATTGTAGTTAAAACAGAAGCAGTGAATAAACTTATACCAAAGTTTTATTGCACTTTACTCTGACTACTCGTCTACTGACGGATTTAACAGGGTAATTTTTATACCTCCTAGATCTTAAGGGGAGGTAACTGATGATTTATTAGTAATTACACATTTCATTCTGGGTTCAAACTAGAGATTTATGAGCGGAAATGGCTACAGGAAACATTTTACAGAGTTCTCCGTAATGTGCGAACTGTACTTGTGAGTAGAATTTTTTGTACTTCTTTAAGACATAAGCTACCAGTAATATTATTATCATTAACATTATTATTTTTATTGTTGTTTTTGTTGTCGGGAGATAATTTTGAATGACAATAAATTTTCTTCAAATGGTAGCCAAGGCCGCCTCGTCGTGTGTTTAGCATTCTCCAATTTCGTCTGGTACTAGACAATTTCATTAGCATGTCTTCGGTTTACATACTTTTATAAAGACTTCAAAGAAAAATCAGCGGACATCCAAAGCAAACTGAACAATAGAGAGACGAATACTTGGACAGAAATGGGAAAAAAAAGAATAAAAACAGAAAGAACTTTCAATAAAATGAGAGACAGACAAAATATTTTTTAAAAGAGTACAAAAACTGAAGACAAATCTCTTCTTATTCCAATGCAACAGCCCGATCAGATCAGCCATTGGCTAGATGCCAGCATCTCTCGCGAGACTCAAAACGAGACAGAACGGTACTTGAATTATTCCCCCTTAACCTCCTTTCCTTTCGCTTTCTCAATCTTTTCTAACTATATTTCCCACGGTACTTTAATCCAATACACACTACGCATTCCTCTTCTTTTTCATTTATTTTGATTTGTTTATAAACTGACCCTAACCCTACCCGGCGTCCGCAACACGGGCTTCAGTACGAGAGCTTTGGGTCTTCAGATGGCGTAGTCGAGCCGCCTGCGTCCTAGATAAAAAGGAAAGAAAAACACACCACTTTGAAGTTTTCTCTAGGGTCGTACATACATAGTGACTAAGCTGCAAAAGCATTGCAACCGGACAGTATGGGAAGAGAGGGGCGGGTGACATGATGACGGGATTAGATGGCGAGAATAGGAGTCCAGGAACGTTAGAAATAACGAAAGTCACGTTTAAAGAAAACTAAGAAACGGGATTTGGCGAGAACTGGAGATTGAAAACTGCAAGGGGAATTAAAGAGGGCGAAGTAACCAGACAGGGCGAAATCAATGAATGAAAACAAAATGGCGACAGTACGAGGTTCTGAATCATTGTAGATAGATGTAGAATAAAGAAAATGAAAAATGATGACAAGAATGACCGAACGGATAGAAAGAAGACAAAAATAAGAAAAGGAGAAATAACGAAGAAAAGAGACGAGAAAGATAATGCAATAGAAATTTTAGCCGTATCATTATAAGGAAACATTCGGTATTCTATGCTACACGTTACACTGTTCTTTTGACTGAAATCAAAAATGTAGTATCTGTCCTCGGGTGGATAAAATATATTTTAACTAGGTACCTCAATAAAAATGCGATACCTAAAGTTTAAAAGGAATTTTCAATAAAATAAGCTTTCTTGAAACTTTTATTATAGCTATTATTTCAAGCTGCTAGATTTAAATTTCATATTTCAAAAAGCAAAACACCATGCTTGTCAGCGAAATCGAGAGTAAAATAGACTACGACGAAAAACAAACGACCCTAACAGGGGTGGGGAGCATACTTTCGGCCTTGAGGCACATCTAAGCAACACTAAGAAAACCATTTGAGAAATTCGATCTGGTGTAAGGGTTAGCAAGATTGTCTCGCTAGAATAATTACGACTGAGTAGTGAGTTCGATCCTCACTGGGTGCCCCATATTTTCGGCCTTGTGCCACATCTAAGCTACGCTTGGAAAATCACTATAATATTCATAAAAGCAATTAAAAGCTTTTTCTAAGTAAATAATATTTAAGTTTTATTGCGTTTTTGTTTTACGAAACAAATTTTCGATAAGTCGGTGTCCGATTTTACCAAAAAAAACTGATGATTTATATTTTCCAAAAAAGTTCTCCTTTTAAGTAAAATAGTCACTATATATTATCTCGCTGAATTTCTTGAGTTTTCATAAAAATAACTAAGGGTCTAAAACACATGAAAAATATTTTTACCAAGATTTTCTAAAAGAAAACATGTTTGAAATAATTTCATACATTTGGGAATAAGTTCTGAAAGTTTCATTAGTATTCGAAAAAAAATTTAATTTTTGCAAGTACAGTAAGACTAAGAAGGCCTTCCGGATATGTGGAATTTGTTACAAAGTCCGGATATGAGGGGTTATATTTAGATTAAAATAAAAGAACAGTAAACAAAATAAGCTAATGGTGAGTGAAATATAACAGAAAAGATTTTAAGGAAAAGAAATAAATTATGCAATGTCAATGAAAAATTATTAAATTAAATATGCCACGTATGCAAAACAAATAATGTAACGAGGATTTTTTAATCGCTGTTCTTTCTCTTCTAATGTAATCTCAACTTTTTCCACATTTCATTTTGCTTTTATTCTTGGCATTTTTAGACGAAAGACACTTTTTTAACTCTGCGTGCGTTATTGCAATCATCACAGCTGAATGCTGGCTTTCTTTCCATAAAACTGACAACCTCTTCAATAGCTTTTCAATTTCAGTCCAGGTTTCATCACAGTTATGCATCTCGTCGCTATCCTGTTGCAGATGTGTCTCGCTGTCATCCTTTCCACTTATTCCCATCATCCTTTGCACCAATCGAAGCCATTAGTGAAATAAGCAGAAGCAATTATACAAAGTAAATTTCCTGAAAAACAGAAATTTCAAATCAATTACATATCACACAAACAGTTCAAATATACAGATCAAAATCATGTCCAGATATGAGGGATTTCGGATATGAGGCACTCCGGATATGCGGGATTCCGGATATGAGGCACTTCGGATGTGAGGGATTCCGGATATGAAGAATTCTACTGTATTAAGAAACAGAAAGAAATCGTTAGAAACAAAGGAAAGACTACTGATCTGTTACGTAATATCAGTTCTCTTATATACCAGTGAATGTTGGAAAATCTCCTCTTAGATAAAGAAGAGTCTTGGAGCAAGAGAAATGTGGTTTTAAATAAGGATGCTGAGAATACATAGACAGGACATGTGAGCAATGACAACGTGTTAAAGAAAATGAAAATCATGTCCGGATATGCGGGATTCCGGATATGAGGCACTCTGAATATGAGAGTTTCCGGATATGAGGGATTCTACTGTATTTTCAAATTAATGTCTTTCACCGCGACAAAGGAAACTGGGAAAATTCGGTCCTTGGCCCATATACAGATTCATGCGTATGATTACCCCACGTAAAAAACGACTTTGTATCAAGCCATGCCTTAGTGGGGAGATCAGGTCTACTTATTTCTCATGGTAATGTTAATGTTACACATTTCCTTATAAGGAAACATTCAGCGTTCATTGACCAATCAGCCAATACTATTGTCGATTCCAATTTATAAAGTCCTCCTATTAAAAAAATTTTCAGGAAAATAGTTTTTCAATTTCGCTATTAGCGTTCATTCCAGGATTGACGACAGTTTCCTTCCTAGCCTTTTTTTTTTTTAACTAAGGCGTTATTATTTACTTTTCCTGTTATATGTGATATACATTTTATTTGTTGCGGCTGTTGAAAGTCTTCAAGTGATGGGGTTTTCTGTTATACAATCACCGAAGTTAAGTAACGTCGAGCCTGGTCAGCACCCATATGGGTGACCACTTGGGAATATTAGGAGCTGTAAGCTTGAATGTGCAGGCGGCGTAACTGGATTAAAGCCTTATCACCTTGAAACCACGGGTCCCGTACAATCAACGAAGTTAAGCAAACCTTGTCTGAATCTACATGGGTGACCGCTTGGGAATAACAGGAGCTGTAAGCTTGAATGTGCGAGCTTACGTCTATAACACGTTGAAACCCTGCTCCCGTACAATCACCGACGTTAAGCAACATCAAGCCTGGTCAGTTTCTAGATGGGTGACCGCTTGGGAATAACAGGAGCTGTAAGCTTGAATGTGCGGGTGGCGTAATGAGCTTACGTCCATAACACGTTGAAACCCTGCTCCCGTACAATCACCGACGTTAAGCAACGTCAAGCCTGGTCAGTTTCTAGATGGGTGACCGCTTGGGAATAACAGGAGCTGTAAGCTTGAATGTGCGGGTGGCGTAATGAGCTTACGTCCATAACACGTTGAAACCTTGCTCCCGTACAATCACCGACGTTAAGCAACGTCAAGCCTGGTCAGTTTCTAGATGGGTGACCGCTTGGGAATAACAGGAGCTGTAAGCTTGAATGTGCGGGTGGCGTAATGAGCTTACGTCTATAACACGTTGAAACCCTGCTCCCGTACAATCACCGACATTAAGCAACGTCAAGCCTGGTCAGTTTCTAGATGGGTGACCGCTTAGGAATATCAGGAAATGTAAGCTTGAATGTGCGGGTGGCGTAATGGCCTTAAGGCCTTATCACGTTGAAACCCAAGTTCCCATACAATCACCGCAGTTAAAGAACATCGAGCCTGGTTAGTACCTACATCGATGACTGCTTGGGAATACCACGTGCTGTAAGCTTGGATGTGCGTGTGGTGTAATGGATAACGGCTTGGAATTGTAAATCGGTGAGCTGAGTTCCATTTTTCGTTGGGTTCGTTATATTCACTTACGCACAAATACCCTTGGGAAAGGTTAAACACCACCTCTTTCCCCCCAGCTATCAGTTAATTAGTGAATAGACTTCTATCAGTAAATTATTATTATCTAAAAAAAAACATTCCTACAATCTGGCTTTAAATAACCAACAAAGGGTTGATATACCGTAAAAAACGAATCACTCAATCGAAAGAAGGATGGTCCTTGTTAAGACCTACAGGCTCCATTTGCTGGAAGCCGTATTTAATCAGTGGCCTGAAAACGCGGCTGTATGCAATTGAATGGTTAGATGTTTTTTGAACGAATTTAGTGCCAGATGCCAAGGCTTTAGGGAAAAAATAAGAAAATGAACGAAAAAAGAATTTGACCCGAACGGAAAAGTAATATTTAAATTTGGTAAATGTCCACATCACTGTGAATTTATCTAACTATGATCATATGCAATTTTCTTCCTATCAACCCCACAGAAAGCGATGCTTCAAGAAATAAAAAATATATAAACGAATGGAAAATAAAAGCAGGTTTCGTAGATCCTATCTGGGACATTGCGTTCTCTTTTCAAAGGTTTAGCACATGGATTCTCAACCAGGGGGGGGGGGATTTCCTCACCAGGGAGGAAATTTCCACCAGGGTGGCTGATTTCTGGGTTTCAAGTGGGGTGGAAACTCTTTTTACTTTTTCTTGCATTTTGTTTGCAGAATTCCGTCTATTGAATTATAATATTCTGATATTCTTCCGAACTTTTTTGTTTATTGAAGTATACTTCAGTTCATTTATTTAATACAGTGTAACCCGGATATAAGAGAAACCCGGATATAAGAGAGATTTTCTCTGGTCCCAAATTAGAGCCTGTGTTAATGTATATAAAATAGACCAAACGCGGCTATAAGAGAAACCCGGATATAAGAGACTTCTTTTCCGGTCCCGACAAGTCTCTTATATCCGGGTTACACTGTATTTATTTATGAATTAAAGGAAATTGCTGTAAACGTATTCAATTTGAAAAATCTATCAACATTTTCTATTGCTATTAAATTTGTAAATCTCCTCTATAAAAAAAATAATCCATGTAAATGAACCAATATGGAAAAGAATGATTTTTCAATATGCCTGTTTGGAATGCACCTTTTGAGTTGGACAATTTTGGAAGAGGAGTGATATTCTGACTTATGTTGGAAACTGGGCAAGGGGAGATCGAGACCCACTGGTCTCTGTGCCACAACTTATGCTTACGAGGCGAGGAAATAAAGTCACCTTTATTTTTCTTGTTTTTTTTTTTATTTACAGAATTTTGTTTATTGAAGTATGCTTCAGTTTATTTATTTAGTAATTAATTATAGATTAAAGCCAATTACTGTACATGTATTCATGTTTAAAAATCCATCAACATTTTCTATTGATATTAAATTTGTAAAAAATGCTATAAAAATAATTCATGTAAATGTATATGTACTTATACAGAAAAGAATGAAGGTTTTTCAATAATCTATACAAATTACCTGGAAAATATCTTTTGAGTGGAACAATCTTGGAAATTGTGGTAATGACATTCAGACAGATGGCAAAAAGGATTCATGAACAAAAAAATGTTGAAAACCACTGGTTTAGCACAACTGAAAATAGTCGGAGAACAGACCAGTCAAAAACTTTGTGTGAACAACAAAAATAAAAATAAATAATGTCTTTCTTAATTTCTACTAATGTCCTCATCTTTCTTGTTGTTATATCAACGTTTCAACCGTTGAGCCCTCGACCCTTCATCAGGTTTATCTCAATCCTACAGGGAAATTCCGAACTGAACCATTTATTTAATCTAAGGGGTTAAACTGCTCTCGTTCAATGAAATGGCCGAAAGAAACACTGAGTAAAATTGTGACTTTGGAATCAAATGGAGATTAAATATGGATCGGAATCCTGCAAAAGGATAACATAAAGAATAAGCAAAGTGCATACAATCTTTCTCGTATGTTTTTTTTTTATATATAGATATTTTTTATATATAGATATTTTTTATATATAGATATTTTTTATATATAGATATGTGTAATGAGCCTCTAGATAATTGGAAAAAATTACAAAAAGTCTCTGGGATTTTCTTAACTGAAATTTTGTTGAGTGCTAAGAGATAAATGTTTCTATTATGGCCTGAAAAAGTAAAAGGAGCCGAAATTTTCGTTGACACACATGTTAAGTGCTTGTCCGTGTTGACTGTTTGTCCGGTAGTGAGAATGTCACGTGTTTGTGTGTGTAGAGGAGAAAAGTGGGATCGATTCTCATTGGTTTAGAAAGACTAAATTAATGATAATTATTATTGTTATAACTATTTCATTATTTATTTTAGGATATTAGCACGAAAACATGTCAAAATCGCTACACTATTGTAGTCATGTTTCGATGCGTTTCAATGCATCTCATCAGGCGATTGTAAATTACTGGCGAGTAAACAATTTATTTAAATTTAAAAGCAAAGTAAAATCTCTTTTTACAAAAAAAGTTGGGAATTATAAGGTTTGTGGGCTTTACTCAGATCAACCAATCAAATATGACCTAAGTTAAATTTAAACTAAGCAAATAAACAAGAATTAAGAAATTACTTTTTATAAATGGGTCATGGCTACTTTGAAATTGTACTTTATTCGTTCTCATCTTACCTGGATAATTATTTCATTATAGTTATATTTTGACGGTTTAATTAATTTTAATTATTTTTATGGACATGACAATATCCCTGGATTTCTTATTTTGTTCTTTTTAGTACCGCTTAGGTATTATCCACCTTGAATATGTAGAGTGCTACTCCATTTTGCTCACTCGGCTAAAAGTTAATTGCTTATATCCGGGGGGCGATATCACAAAAGTGTGTTTGTCTTTGACCCTCTCTTGGTTGTGCTTTGAAATTCGTTTCACGTTACGCGCCCACGGTTCGTGTTGCAAACAGAAGAAATTCGGTATGCACGGACAAACATCAAAGATATATTTGAATATGCTTGATGTGCTGAAAGTGTCGTGGTTAAATCATTGGTTTCAGTTGAACGATTTCGACTGATGAGATATTTGCTAGCAAAGATGTACGCTCTGGTTTTGGGTTCAAACTATAATATTTCTCACAACCGCTGCCAGTCAAATTCGTCTGTTCAACAGGGAATCGCCGACAGAACTTAAAGGTATCATTAAAACATCAATAAAAATACCCAGTTTAAAAACTTTACCGGTAAAATTACAAATTAATTAAAAGTCGAATCGGTACGTACATGATTCCTAATAGCCATTAATTTTGGAGGAGATCCACATGTTTTTAAGGTTTTGATAGCATGAAGGCGTCTAGACCCCTTCAAACGGATTTGAATTCAGTTTTCTATTTTCTAGACTAGTTGAGATTTGTAGGCGAATTATAATTGAATAAATAATTATAACCCCCCCACAACATTTATATATACAAAAACACTCGTCAAAATGAGAAACAGTAAAACGTGGAAACAACAAAATGAGTATCTGTCTATATCTCTGAGATGAGGTATTATCATTATTTATATTATTTACATTATTCAAACTGTTATCCTCACTTTCATTGTCATATTCCCAATGTTTCGGCCATTGTACGCTCCGGTCTTCTTCAAGCATTTGGTTCACCACTGCTGTGGTCTGATATTGAACTCACAACTTTTTGAGTCTAGTCACTGGATCTAACTAATGTCTTTATCCACTGGCCCATGTGTCCTTGAGAAGGCTGGAGCATACAACGGTCGAGATGCTGTAAATATGGCAATGAAGATGAGAATAACATCCCGAATAATGTAATTAATGTAAAATACAAAACAAGTATTATTTCTTATCTTGTTGTTATGTGGTGTTGGAGACATGAGAGACAGTAATACTGAGTAAATGTGAGTCTGGGGTCAAATGTAGATCAACTATGGATTGTAATCTAACAGAATGATACAATAAAGAATAAGCAAAGTGTATACAGTCTTTGTAGTATGTTTTTTATAGATGCGTGTAATGAGTGTCCACATAATTTAGTTGAAAAATACAAGAAGTGTCTGGGGTTTTCTTATTTTGAATTTTTGTTGAGTATTATAATATAAATGTTACTATTATAACCTGAAAAGGAAAGGGAGATGAAATTTTTGCTGATGCACGTGTTAATGACCCATCCGTGTGAACTGCTAGTGAGAATGTCATATCCGTGTGAACTGCTAGTGAAAATGTCACATCTTTGTGCGTGTAGTGGAGAAAAGTGAGTTAACCTCTTAAAGTATTGTTTTTTTTGCTTTCAGAAAAAGGTATACATTAATTAAAGGTTCGCTCGTAAAAAAAAAAAGAAAAAAAACAGGAAAGTTTGGTGCAGCAATATTTTTTGTAGATTAACGTGCATTAGGCGCAATTCAGCTACACACAACATTTTTAATCATTTCACCCTGTAGGAAGTGAGGAGGTTGTAAGTCTGAGTAACTAATCATAATACCCCTAACATTTATATATACAGCAAAACATGGAAACAACAAAACAAGTATAATTTATCATCTGGTTGTTATGTGGTATTGGAGACACAAGAGATTAAAATTGCGACAGAAGGATGAAATAAAGAATAAGTAAAATGTACACAGACTTTCTAGTATTTTTCATAAATGTGTGCAATGAATGTCCAGTTAATTTAGTGAAAAAATAAAAGCAGTTTCTGATGTTTTTTGTTGTTTTTTCAATGCTAAAACATAAGGAAAAGAAGACGAAATTTTCGTTGATGCACGTTTTAACGACCTGTCTGTGGGAACTGCTTGTCCGATAGTGACAATGTCATGTTTTTGTGCGTTTAGAGGAGAAAACAGCTCGATTTTCATTGCTTTAGAATGAGTGAATTAATAATAATGAACACGACACATTTGAAGGCAAGAAAGCCCAGGTTGGTCTGCTATTTAATCT